GCCCTGGAATGCTGGCAACCACCAGGAGCTGGAAGAGGCAAATGATGAATTGTCTTTGGAGGGAGCACAGTCCCCATACGCCTTGTTTTTGGCCTATTATAATTGATTCCAGACTTCTGGTCCTAAAACTGGGAGAAAATACCTTTCTATTGTTTTAAACAATTGGTTGTGGTAATTTGTATAGCAGCCAAAAAAGACCAACACACACAGTTCTAATAAGTCTTAGGTAATGTGTGCCACCCTGAGCAAATTATTTAAGTTTTATGAGTCTGTACTCTCCTAAGAACAGCACAAACATACTACCCTCCTAACGGCATCAGAAAATGTTGTGAAGTGTGTAATGCGCATAGCAAGTAATAGGTGCCTTATTGCAAATGATAATGTAAAGGTTGTAAAGGATAATGACTCCCATGTTGTTACATTTTACAAAAGCTACCACCTTTAATCCTAATCATCCTGTGATGTGGAGCCCCCGTCCCTCATTTTATAGATGAAGAAATAGATATGGGGAGGCTAATAGTTTGCCCAGATTACATGGTCAAGATAAAAAATATTCTGAGGACATTGCTTCTGAAAAATTGCAGATGTATGTATATGTTTTTAAATTCTGAGTTATCTTACTTCCCTAGGGAAGGAAAACCAATGAAATAATAGTTTCAGTGTTTTGTGGAGAAGGACAGATATGAATTAGAACAAAGAGGCAATTGTTAAATTGGATTTTTAAATTAATCTTGAAAGCCAGGCTTTGTTATGTGAGAAAGGATTTGAAAGATTGCCTCAGCGAGCATTAACTCATCAAGAAGCAAGAGTAGTTATGAAGGTTTCCTTGGCTGAAAGAACATAGACGACATGAAGAAAATCTTTACTATGAGGGAAGAGAGTCGGGGTGGGGAGAGCCCCCTTCAGATCCAGGTGATGACAGGGGACAAGAGGGAGGTGACGATGCTTGCGGGTGGGTATGGGTAATTAGAAACATGACTTCCGGGCAACAGCCTAGTGGCTAAAGTCCTTGCCTGGCATGCGCTGGGATCCCATATGGGTGCCAGGTTGCTGTTGTAGCTTCTTTGGGAGTGAACCACTGGATGGAAGATCTTTCTCTCTGTCTCTCCTTCCCTCTAAATCTTCTTTTTAAAACAGTCCTTTAAAAAAAAGAAAAAGAAACCTGACTTCCACTCAACTCCACTCTGAGGCTCCTCCTTATCTAGTTCCAATTTCTTTCCTTCTTTTTTTTTTTTTTAAGATTTATTTATTTTTTATTTTGAAAGGCAGATTTATATAGAGAAGGAGAGACAGAGAGTAGGTCTTCCATCTGCTTGCTCACTCCCCAAATGGCTTCAATGGTCAGAGCTGAGCCAATCCGAAGCCAGGAGCCCCCCCCGAGCTTCTGGCTCTCCCATGCAGGTGCAGGGTCTCAAGGCCTTGGGACATCTTCTACTGCTTTCCCAGACCACAAGTAGCTGGATGGGAAATGGGTAAGCCAGGACCTAAGCTCGCACCCATATGGGATTCCACCACTTGCAAGTGAGCTACTGAGCCATAGTGTCGGGCCTGAAAGAACTTTAATTGCTTTTCTTTGAAAGGAACAGAGACAAGTCTAGAAGCAGTAAGAGTGAGAGTGTGTGTCTCCCATTCTCGTCTGCTGTTCACTCCCCAAAAGTAAGTAAGTCAGAGCTGGGCCAGGAGCCAGAAACTGAGTCTCCCACATGGGTGGGTCCCATGTGAGTCATCGCCTGCTGACTCCTAGGTCAGGCATTAGCAAGATGTCGACATCGGAGAAGGACTGGGGACTGCCAGGACCTTAGACTGTGAACTCGGCACCTCCGCCACCAGTTACAGGTGTCCCAACTAGCATTTCAAAAAACCATTTATTTTCTCTTTGAAAACTGGAGTTACAGAGAGAGACAGAAAGATCTTCCATCTGCTAATTTATTCCCCACATGCCCATGCTTAGACCAGACAGAAGCTGGGAAACCAGGAGCTTCACTTTGGTCTTCCACGTATGTACAGGGGCCCAAGTAACTGGGTTTTCTTCTGCTGCTTTTTCAGATGTATTAGCATGAAACTGAACTGCAAGTGGATATGGGGTGCCTGAATCACAGGCAGAGGCTTAATGTGCTGTTGCACAATGCTATCTTCTCCTCCCCCCAGAAGAAATCACAGTGACTTAGCAAACAGCAGTTCATTTTCCTCAATGCTTCAGAAATGCTCTGTGCATGGCTAGTGCAACTCCATAAAGAGGTCAGGTTCCTTCTTGCACACTGAGTCATTCACTGTGTGGTTTTAGTCATTAATGTTCTCAAGAAAACTGTTCCTGATCCGGGAATGTGCCCTCCTTTCTAGCAGGAGTAAAGGAGGTTGGCAAAATGATCAAGGTAAATTGTGCCTATGAAATGAAATTGTCCCGTTTCATTAGAAAAAAAAATACCCTTTTTAGAAGACCCATTCTAGGTCCTGCATTGTGATGTAGCAGGTAAAGCTGCTCTCTGTTCTGGAGCACACCGCCATCCTCCCCAAGGATTGTGAAGGCTCTGGTTGACCAGCGTGCTTTGGTACACTGGCCTTTCTATTGCTTATCATGGTCGTGCTCTTTTCTGTATCAGAGATCACTATGTCTTGCAGGTCAGTTAGACTGTTGCTCCTATGTCTCTGTGCCACATGCTTGGTGTCAGAATGGAGCATCTGCACTGTCATAAAGTCGGAATTGAAAGCAGAGCAGAAACCTCAACCCAGACACTCTGATGTGTGATGGATGCGGCATCCCAACCAGACAACCCAGATGTGTGATGGATGTGGCATCCCAACCAGCCTCCTAATTTTCAGACCAAATGCCCAGCCCCCAATGGGGCTTTTTGATGGTGGCAAAGTAGGCTTTTATTTAGTGGTTATTACCTTTGCTTAGGGACTGAGGTTCCTGAAAGGACCTTCAAAACAAGATCAAACATCAAAATAAACATCTGTATCTAGTGAGGAGATAAATAAGCTCATGCATCTTAGATCAGGAACCTTGTGGACTGGCTATATCCTTCGGTCAACTTACTGAATTGATTTTATCAAGAGGCTGATTTGCAAAGAAACTTGAGGTTCCATCTTTCTTTGACCAAAGGGTTTGTAACTCACTGCCTCACTTCCCTTTTCCTTGGTGAACCAATGTGTGGGCAGACTCTGGAGGAGCTTAACTCTGCAAACAAAGCCTACCTAAGTCATTTCTGGTTTTAGAAGGATAAATGGCAGTCAAGAACATTGAGCACAAACTTTATCTGGTCAGAGGAAGCCAAGTATTTTAAAAACGCATTTTATCAGGACAACTCCCACGTCCCTATCCCAAAATATGAAACCTGAAGAACTCGAAAATATGAAACTCCGGATGTTGACATGGCCAATTATCCAAATGGAAAATTCCAGGTTTGACCTTGACAGTTGGGCTGCAAAGTGCAGGCACATTGTAACGTCATGCAGTTACCTTCAGATACACGTAGACAGTGTTACGAAACGGAAATACAACTCATGTTTAGAGCTGGGTCCCATTCTTACACTATCTCATCAGATCTTGAAAGTATTAGTAAAAATAATAATAAAACCTTAGCAACTGTGAGCATCTCTGTTCCTAAATATTTCAGACAAGGGGATTCTCAGCTGGGTTACTTCCTTACCTAAAAGAGGTATCAGAAACAAAGCCAACCCCGAAGGGAAACAGTAGATTTTGTCCAGTAATTCTACCACCATGAGCGTCCTGCCACCTCAGTGCCTTTTTGTCTGAACCAAAGGGCTGGTGTGAGCTGAGAGAAGCAGGGAAGAACGTTAGAGAAAGGGGTTTGAAGAATGCACCTAAGCGTTCTGAGGATTCATGACTACTTACTCAGGAGGGAATGGCTTCCTATGTTTCTATTCTAAAATGCAATGAGATAAGATACAGCGAAGCACCCAGCTCGGAGAGGCTGAAAGCTGCTTTACCTCCCTGAAACGACCCCATGGCAAAGAGATGGCTCCTGCGTCAGGGCAGTGTTGGCTGGGGGATACACCTCAAAGTGTAGAGAAAGCATTTTATTTATTTTCAAAGGTTTATTATTTTTATTGGGAAGATATACAGAGAAGATATAAAGAAAGGTCTTCTATCTGATGATTTACCCCCCAGTTGGGTGCAAGTGCTGGAGCTGAGCTGATCCAAAGTCAGGAGTCAGGAGCTCTTCCAGGTCTCCCACACGGGTGCAGGGTCCCAAAGGTCCTGCTTTCCCAGGCCACAGGCAGGGAGCTGGATGGGAAGTAGAGTAGCAGGGATATGAACTGGCACCCATATGGGATCCTGGGCGGATGCAAGGCAAAGACTTTAGACACGAAGGTATTGTGCCAGGCCCAAAAGCATTTTATTTACTTTTTAAAATTTAAAATTAAAGCATTTGTAATTGCGAGCTTTCTGAAGATGCTGCACTAAGAGGTTCTTCTGCCTGTCAGGGGATGGGGGTGATTGGGGGATGACGAGGACAAACAGGACATTCTGGCACTGAGCTTGTTTGGAAGCCTCCGTTTTAAAGCGCCCGTTGGAAGCCCACCAGCACACAGTCAAATCTTGCAGAATTTGGTTTTCAAAAAAACGGTCGTTCAACTTTGATTCACCTGGCACTTCAGATGATTTTATGTCGATGTCTGTGTCACACCATTAAAACAAGGTATCACGGCCTTAAAAAAATGGAATTTCCGTTCTGTTAACAGGATATTGAATATGTAAGGTGAAGGATTACAAGCTCCATTGGCCCATCTGGCTCCCCAACTTGGCTCCTGCAGCGTTACTGCTGGGAGCTGCCTGTGCTTCTGTCCAAGGCTGCACGTCCTTGTTTCATCCCTGGCGTGTTTACTCCTCCACAGGCTCCCAAGGGCCAACCCCCGCGAAACCCTCGTGCAAACTGGCAACTGCAGCGAACTGGGTTAAAAAAAGAGGAAAGAGCCCCAAAGCGACGGTTTCACTTCTCTTCTGCCTCTTCTTTCCGGGGTCCACAGTTGCAGACAGACGCAAGGCTGAGTTAGGACAGGCAGGACAGCCCCGGGCTTTGCCACCCAGGCTCCTGCACCCCACCCCCGGCAGCCCCCGGCGCCATCGCGGTTCCGGGTCCCTGGTGGTGGGAACCTCCCCTCGCCGCGGCCAGCCCGGCGTGGCGGTGGGCACCGGGAAGTCGGCGCAGCGCGGCGCTCGCTTTGCGGCGCGACCGTAAAGCGCCGTCTTTCTCCGGGGACGTCGCCGAGCCCGAGTCGCCGTCGCGGTTGTCGTCCGCCCCGGGTAGCTGCCGCCTGGTGGCTTTCCGCTTCTCCTGTGGGTCTGGATTTCGTGGTGGCCCTTGGGGAAGGCGCGGGGCTGTGACTTGGGGAGGGCCGTTGGGGAACGGCAGGGCGGCCCGATCCTTAGCGCCCTCCAGCCTCGGCGCTGTCCGGGCCTGCGCGGCGGGCGCCAGTGGCGGGTCCCCCCGCTGTCACCAGCCCGACGAGGCCGCCTGCCCGGCGCCCATGGCCGGCCGCTCGCTGGGGAAGGCCGTGGCCGCCGTGTCTGTGTCTGTGGCCCTGGCCTGGGTGGCTGTGCGCGCTGCCGCGGGCTGCCGCCGCATCCCGGCCTACAGGTGACTCCCCAGCTTCTGCCGTGAGCCCTGGGCGGGTGGGGAGGGATGGCGGGTTCCAGTTGATGACAACGTGCTTCCAGAATGTCTTAGTTTCCTTTTGCGGAAGCTAGGGCCAGGTTTAAAATGGGGTGTCAACCATCAGCCCCCCAACAGGACCACCGCAGTTTTAATAACACTTATTGAGGGCGGGAAGGGGGTGTTACCCCACGCTGCTCTTGCTGGTTAGTAACGAAAACTTTATTAAAATGCACACAGGCACGTAATTTAAAAAGAATTGAACAGCTTAAATGGTGCAGAGCAAAATAAAATAGCCCTTCTCGCTCCTGTCTACTTTCCAAGGGTAGGTGATAGGTTGTGATATGATGTTTGCCTTTCCCCCCATATTTGCTCTCACACTATTGAGGGATTATGACTCAGCTGCTCTGTACTCATCATCTCTCCACCTCAAGTGTTTATTCTTTGGGTCTGTAAACACAGCGCTGGCGGTGTTAACCTTCCGTGTGTGTGTGTGTGTGTGTGTGTGTGTAATCCTTTTGAGCATATTAAGTGATAATCAAAGCAAAACTTGTATTCTGTTTCCAGAATTATTCTGTTTGCTTTTGGTGTCTTAGGCATCTGCTCCCCCCCCCCCCATGTGATTGAATGTGATGATCTATTTCCTTATGCGTTAATTCATGTAAGGAATAAGTATTGCTTATGGAATAGTGCCTCTTAGCCTTAGCCTGTCACTAGGTTTGAGTGGAGAGTGTGTGAACAGGTACCAGATGGAGGAGCCAGGGACCTCCCTTTTGTCACCTGCATTACCAAGCAGCGAATGGAGCAGCTCTTCCCAACTTGGTTTTCCTTAGTGCGAGTTGTGACATCACTCAGCACCAACTTTCTGCTGTGTTTGCCCCAGCTGCCCTAGCCTAACTCCTGACCGCATTCTGGAGAGGTGAAGCCTGAGGTTTCTGTGGATGTTGTCTCCTGAGCCCCCTGGGAACTTCTGGTCCTCTCACTTCCAGCTTGCAGCTGCTCCGCTTCTCTTGTAGGAAGGGTGTCTCTAGTCCTGCCCTGTTGGTCAGTTAGCATGATTCCACTGACGTCCCTAAGCTGATGAGAGTCTTCTTCCACTAGCAGGGTTCTAGTCCTTTCCTTGCTATGGATTTTGTTTCCCCTTTGTCCGTGTTCTCTTTCAGTGGCGTTTGTGAGGGAAGGACTAAATGGCTCTGTTCTTTGGAAATCAGTAAACTCTTTGTTAGAAGCCATCACAGAAATGTCAAGTTGCTTGATAGTTACTCTTTATTTTTAATGCTGGAACCCTAGGTGCAGTGAATTTAGTGAGAATTGGATAGTGTGTGTACTTAGCCTGTAAGAAGAAGCCAAAAGTTAAAGCATCCGATTTGGACTGAGTCCCTGCTCTCTACCATTGCACATTTTGAGAAAGACACAAAAAACTGTATCAAGAATTTTACCTGTGTTAAAGAATTCTAATTATTTTAAATGATTAAATAATTATTAAAGTGATTATTTTTTAGTGTTTGTGATTTGACCAGAAAGTTTCAAGTGTCTGTGTTTTAGAAAAGTGGCAGCATGTGGAGTGAGTGCTTCCAAATTCCCCAGCAGCATCTCCATGGGAATTGTGGGAAATGTGTATGTTTTATTCCTGAGAATGCATATAAACGTGTATGAGCTAAAAGCAAAGTAGAGCTGTTATGAGGAAAAAGTAGAAATATCAATTTATTTGGGTGAAAAATAATCTATTAATATCTATGTGCAATTCTTTCATAATTGCCTTCCCCAAATGAGCTTGAAGATCCTTCCATAGAGCATTGTGTTTAGGGCCTGGAATTCTGAATGATTTTTGTGTGTGTGTATGACTTTGGTAACTTCACTTAGCTTCTGTTGGTTTTAAAGTTTCTAGAATAAATCAATGTGATAGTACTTAAACACAGAGTTTTGAGGATCAAATGAGTTAATACATTACAGTTTTTCGAACAATATGTTTCATGTAGCAAGAACTATGCTTTTTTTTAAAGATTTATTTATTTTTATTGGAAAGGCAGATATACAGAGAGGAGGAGAGACAGAGAGGAAGATCTTCCGTCTGATGGTTCACTCCCCAAGTGAGTGCAATGGTCGGTACTGAGGTGATCTGAAGCCAGGAGCCTCTTCTGGGTCTCCCACATGGGTGCAGGGTCCTAAAGCTTTGGGCTGTCCTCGACTGCTTTGCTAGGCCACAAGCAGGGAGCTGGATGGGAAGTGGAGCTGCTGGGATTGGAACCGGTGCCCATATGTGATCCTGAAGCGTTCAAGGCGAGGACTTTAACTGCTATGCTATCACACCGGGCCCAGAACTATGCTTTTAGACATTTTGTGGCTATTATGATTATTGTATTATACCAATATTGTATTTCTTTTAAATTTGCCAGTTTAAGGAACTTGATCAGCTACATAATTCCCATTTGTAAGGTCAGAGAGTTTCTTGTATCTATTTGAAATATAAGGAAGAAATCTAGGTTATGCAATTATGATAAGTATTCTTATTCTGAAACTTTTTCTGTGTTTCACATTAAATGACAAATATCGATAGTATTAGCACTTCTTTATGTTGTTAGATGTGTAGTCTGGCTTTTGCTAGTTTTCTTGCAAAAATGAATCTGTTTTGGGAAAATAAACCTTCAGGCATAGAATTTCTTATGTCCAGTTGGATAACAGATATACTTGTTATTGCTTGATCATTGACCAAAGAAGTTACTTAAAAGATTTTGGTGCTTGGTAAAAATAGAAAGAGATAAGATCCATGCCTGCTGTTGGACACTTACTTGTTTAATTTTATTTACTTTTTGCCTTATTTCCAAACCATGAGACATAATTCTCATTTTATAATAGTGTTGTTAGAAATTAGGATTCTGAATGAAAAGTTTTGATCGTTTAAGCACAAACCTGAAATTTGTTTACTAGTCTCTGTAGCAATAGGTTTCATGTTATTTTTTTAATTCATATTTTTCATGATATATTTGCATTGTTTACTGAATACTAGTTTAGGACCAGATCAATTTTTTAAAAGTTTTATTTGTTTATTTGAAAGAGTTACTTGTACACAAATGTAACACACACACACACACACATTCTTCCACTCACTGGTTCACTCCTTAAATGGCTATACCAGCCGGATCCTGGCCAGTCTGAAACAAGGAGCCAGAAACCTCCTTTGGGTCTCACTTGTGGGTACAGAGTATTTGGGCCATCTTCTGCTGCTTTCCTAGGTGCATTAGCAGGTAAATGGATCAGAAGAGGAACAGCCAGAGCTTGGACCAGCACCCAAATGGGATGCTAGCACTGCATTTTTGTTTTTAAAGATTTTATGTATTTTTATTGGAAAATCAGATCTACAGAGAGAAGGAGAGACAGAAAGAAAGATCTTCCGTCTGCTTGTTCACCCCTCAATTGGCCTCAATGGCTGGAGCTGAGCTGATCAGAAGCCAGAATCCAGGGGCCCCATGCCATGGCCTAGAGGTTAAAGTCTTCACCTTGATTGCGCTGGGATCCCATATGAGCACCGGTTCTTATCCCAGCAGCTCCACTTCCCATCCAGCTCCCTGCCTGTGGCCTGGAAAAGCAGTCTAGGATGGCCCAAGAACTTTGGGACCCTGCACCCATGTGGAAGACCTGGAGGAAGTTCCTGGCTCCCGGCTTCGGATCAGCACAGCACCAGCTGTTGTGGTCACTTGGGGAGTGAATCATCAGATGGAAGATCTTCCTCTCTGTCTCTCCTCCTCTCTGTATGTCTGATTTTGTAATAACAATAAATAAATCTTAAAAAAAAAAAAAGAAGCCAGAATCCAGGAGCTTCTTCCAGGTCTCTTGTGGAGGTACAGGGTCCCACAGCATTGGGCCATCTTTTACTGCTTTCCCAGGCCACAAGCAGGGAGCTGGAAGGGAAGTGGAGCAGCTGGGTCATGAATGAGTGCCATACAGGATCCTGACATATGCAAGGCGAGGATTTATCCACTTGACTGTTGTGCCAGGCCCATGCAGGTGACAGCTTTATTTACTGTCACACGACTGGCCCCAGGATCAAGTACATCATGTTTTCAGGGAGTTTGTTTGGATTTTTAAAGCTGTGGTAGCTGAGGCAAGCAACTCACAATATCAAAACAATGAACCTTACTACTTTTAATAAAGGTTAATCAAGTCAGATGTTCTACCATACATTAGTGTTTTGTCCATCTGGGGTATTAACTGCTTTCTTGGTTAGTTTCTCCCTGATTTTGAACAATACTTGGATTGTCAGTCAATGGATCTCATTTTTTAACACCAAAATAAGCTTATATTTTAACTGCATTTTTCTGTACAGATGCACAGAGCATCTTGTGAAAAGCAAAATGAAAGAGCAGTTGTTTTAGATTTTACATGTGATAAAATAGCTTGATTTGTGCATCAAAGCTGGAGGCAGAATAGGAAAGAACTAGACACACTGGAAAGCAGAGAAGCCAGTTTGATAGGTTAAATCTTTTTTTTTAAAGATTTATTTTTATTATTTTTTTATTGGAAAGGCGGATATACAGAGAGGAGAGACAGGAAGATCTTCCGTCTGATGATTCACTCCCCAAGTGAGCGCAACGGCTGACGCTATGCTGATCCGAAGCCAGGAGCCTCTTCCGGGTCTCCCACGCGGGTGCAGGGTCCCAAAGCCTTGGGCCGTTCTGGACTGCTTTCCCGGGCCACAGGCAGGGAGCTGGAAGGGAAGTGGAGCTGCCGGGACAGAACCAGCGCCCATATGGGATCCCGGGCGTGCAAGGCAAGGACCCCAACCACTTGCACCACCGCGCCGGGCCCAGGTTAAATCTTTTATGATCCAACTACCACATTCTTTTGTGTTCACCCAAATGAGTTGAAAATTTATATCCACGCAAAGACCTGCTGACAGATTTTTGGAAGCAGTTTTATGTATAATTTACAAAGCTTAGGAGCCATGATATCCTTCAATAGGTGAATGGTTGAATAACTTGGTGCATCCAATTTAGTAGACTAAGGAGTATCATGTAGTGCTAAAAAGACATGCATTACTAGGCCTTGAAAAAACAGGGAGGAAAGTTAAATGATATTACATAATTGAAAGAGGTTAGGGTTAGGATTAGGGTTTAGGGTTAGGTTTTAGGGTTAGGGTTAGGGTTAGGGCTGGGGCTAGGACTCTGAGTGAGTCCTGTGGCTTACATTAGGATTCGCTCGTTGTGTGAAATTTGTGGGTTTGTAATGGCATCTGTTTATCATTATTCTGTCAGACACCTGCCATTCATGCCTTGATGGCAGTGAAACTATTTTCTGTAATACCCAGAAGCTGGTTACATTATATGTGATGTTACATTCAGGAGAGATAGGAAGAATCTTAGGTTAATTCTTGTAAATTCCATGAAGAATTTTATTTTATTTTACTGCCAGTAAAAGTTTTTCTATGCAAATGTAATTTTTGAGTTTGAACTAAATAGATCAAAATTTTTTAAAAAAAGATTTATTTTTATTGGAATGTCAGATATATAGAGAGGAGAACAGAGAAAAATGCATCCACTGACTCACTCCCCTCCCCAGGTGACCCCCAACAGCCAGAGCTGAGCCAATCTGAAGCAGAAGGCAGGAGCTTCTTCCAGGTCTCCCACACGCGTACAGGGTCCCAAGGCTTGGGCTGTATTCTATTGCGTTGCCAGGCCGCAAACAGGGAGATGGGTGAGAAGTGGAGCATCTGGGATATGAACTGGTGCTCTTGTGGAATCCTGGCGCATGCAAGGCCAGGATTTAGCTACTAGGCTAGCACGCTGGGCCCTAAATGGATACATTTATTCATTTCATACCTCCTTTTATTTTGTGTGTTTCTCATTTTCTTCCCTTTTTTCTGGTTTTGTTTTCTCCTGCATTGTCTCTGCGAACCCTCTGCTGACCTCCTGCCTCTTTTCTCTCTGTCTCCTCGTTGTCATCGACCCCATCTATTCCCCCTCACCTGCCATTTTCTTTCCCTTTTCCTTCCTTTTTCCTCCCCTCATCTTCCACCTATCTTTTATCTTCATTCAGTTCACCTGACTGGCTAACTCATGTTAAGAATCTGCTGACAGCACCTCTGATGTTCCTGTAGTGAGCAGGGCACACATCTGTGGCAGGCGACATAAAAATGGCCCTCCAATATATCCACTTCTAATTCCTTGTCCCTGTCATTCCATTTCCTTAGACAGCAAAAATATTTTGAAGATGTGCTTGAGGTTAAGCGTTTTTTTTTTTTTAATTGTAAAGTCACATGTACAGAGAAGAGGAGAGACAGAGAGGAAGGTCTTTTGTCCGTTGATCCACTCCCCAGTGGCTGTAATGGCAAGAGCTGAGCTGAGCTGAAGCCAACAGCCAGGAACTTCTTCCGGGTCTCCCACACGGGTGCAGGGTCCCAAGGCTTTGGGCTGTCCTCTACTGGTTTTTCAGGCCACAAGCAGGGAGCTGGATGGGATGTGGGACCACCGGGACACAAACTGGTGCCCATATGGGATCCCAGCTTGTACAAGGCAAGGACTTTAGCCCCTAGGCTGTCACACTGGGCCCTCAGAAGTTTTTGAAATTCAGAAATATGCTTTTAAGTTTTACATTAATATCTTTTCAGTATTTACTTAAAACTTTTTCTCCCTCTGCCCACAGAGACTCATTTTCGTCTTGTTGGATTCATCATAATTACAACAATATGTCTAAGTCTATTAGTGCCAAAAACAATTTCCACAAGAAAGCACGGACATCTCCGTACCCAGGCTCAAAAGTGCAGCGTAGCAAGGTTCCTGATGACAAGGTGGGCTGGCTGGTGGAGTGGCAGGACTACAACCCTGTGGAGTACACGGCAGTGTCTGTCCTGGCTGGACCCGAGTGGGCGGATCCTCAGATCAGGTGAGCAGGTGAACTGGCGTTAGCCAGGTGAAGTCTCTTAGGGAAAGTAGGGGCGAATTTGACTTTGTTAAAATTTAGCTTCCTTATTTATTTGAATTCTTACCAAAGCTAAAGCTTTGCATATATTTGTTCATTTTTATTTGTTTATTCTTTTGGAGGTTTTGTGAAGGTCCTCTCAAATATGTAAAGCTGTCTAGATTTGAGATAACAGTTATTTGCTGTGAAGTAATAGCAGGTTCTACCTGCTTTCATATGTCTTATTTGGGTTTACTGATAGACTACCTTATATTTTACGCAGTTAAAATATTTTTCAGAAAATTTTCCAGATTACTCAAGCAGGTTGCTGATGAAATTAGGACATGTTAAAGCAAGACAAAGGATAGATAAAGGGGAGAGAGAGAGAGAGAGAGAGAGGAAGAATAAACAAGAGAGTGGAAAGAGAAGCTCAAGCTAGAATGCTTTGACTAAAGTCATAGAAATCCTGACTGGAATGACACGTTACATTATTACTTTTCCTTGCTTTATTGATGCATAATTAACAATAATAAAAAATCCCCTATATATTTAAGGCATTATTTTGTCTGTTTACTAAGAAAAATTGCTGATTGGATAGATACAGGGGTCATTTATTAAACTGCTGAACTTCACATTGAACTTGATTTGACCCATGATTTCCTTATTCTATCAAAATCTATGCCTATCATTTTATGATGACACTTGGATTATTAAATAATCATAATGATAACCTGTAGATAAATATTTGACTTAAAGGAGTTCTGTTTTTCACATTTAGGATGTGCATATGCATCTGTTGTATATAAACATTGTGCAAAGTTAAAATTGATGTTGATTTTAAATGGTGTAAATAGAAGACTGAACATGTTTTCCTTAGATTTATTTAAAAAATATTTAAAGATTCTTTTATTTATTTTTATTTGAAAGGCAGCTTTTTACAGAGGGAGGAGAGATAGAGAGGTCTTTTATCTGCTGGTTTATTTTCTGAGTGGCACAATGGTTATAGTTAAGCCAATCCGAGGGAGCCACGTGGGTTTCGCATGCAGGTGCAGGGGCCCAAACTCGTTCTATCCCTTATTGCCTTCTCAGGTCATAAGTAGGGAGCTGGATTGGAAGCAAAGTAGCCGGGATTTGAACTGGTGCCCATGTGGGATGCTGGCACTGCAGGCACAGAATGCGCCTGTTTTGCCGCTGTGCTGACCACTAAGTTTAATTTTTAGGAACTGGATTTCTTTCGCTGTCCAAGGCAGGTGTTATTATTAACATTGATGCATCATTTACAAAGATCTAAAACATTTCCAGTGTTTAATGTCTATTTAATCTATGCAGTCATTATGCATGTCTTGGAAAGAATCCTCTGTTTAACTTTTTAAAAACATAAGTCAGTGTATATTTGAAGAAATTCAAGTTACTTTGAGATAGTAAAAATGTCAAGATATCAGAAGGAATATATTTTTGAAACCATGAGGAAACCAATAACTGTTGTGCACACAGACAGTTCGTTGTTACTAATGATAAAGTAGACATTTTCTATAGTATGAGGGAGGAGGTCCAGCTGGGTAGCCAGTAATCTTTCTGAGAGGCACTCGTAAGGTTAATGAAACACGTCTTTGTTGTTAGGTGTTTAGGTTAAAAGGTTTCTTCTTCCCTTAGAATCTGCTTTGAAGGGATAGAATGGATTTGTAAGTGAAAACTAACAGATTTTACTATTTCAGGGATGTTATTTATTATGAACAATAGATTGAGTTGCAATATTTAAGTATTTATAGTATTTAATGATTTTTTATTTTGCATTGCTATTCTCATTACAGTGAAACTAACTTTTCCCCCAAATTTAATGAAAAGGATGGGCATGTTGAGAGAAAGAGCCAGAACGGCCTGTATGAGGTTCAAAATGGAAGACCTAGGTAAGTACTGGGAATGGAACAGCTCCGTAATGGGTCTTCAAGTAGAAAGGAAGAATTCATGTTTTCCAGCGTTTGTGAGTGTCAGACGTTGTCCAAGAGAATTTATATGTGGCTCTAATTAAGTCTACACAACAACCCTGTGGGTGGTTTTGATTCCATTTTACAAGCAATGAAAGAGAAAATAAGCAGTTTAGCTAGTGAAGTGGCTGAGGCAAGCTTTAATGGATCTTTTGGTAACTGTTTTAGAGGTAGAAATAACTGAATAAACTAACAGGGTTGAGAATTGTATGTTCCATGGGTAGTTATTAAACAGAATAATTTATTAAAATAGAATATGTACAAGTAAAAATGATCTATTATTTAACTTCAAGATTCTTCCTGTACTTAAAAAAATTATCCACTTTTCTTAGGATGGCATTATGAGAGGTAGAGAGAAATATAAAAATCAGCATGTCCCCTCCAAAAGAAAGATGACGGGTTTGTCATCTGGTTATCACCTTGTTACAAGGCTGTGATTTATAGTTTTGGTTCTCAAGGAATTATGAATGGCAGTGTTGTTCCAACTCCAGCTTGGTCCTTCAGTTTTACTAAGAACTTATTCGCATCTCTGTGTGTCTTAATTCTCCTGGCATTTGACTTATTCCCTAGGTTCCTTTCTGTGTAAAATATATACAAAGGTATACATATGCACACACACTCACACACACACAGTATTGCTTTAGTCAGCACGCTTTAACAGACACCAGCACCAACTTGCTTGAGGGAAAAGTGAAGTTTATGTTAAGGCTGTAGGATTACTGCAAAGGACTCAAATCATAAATACAGTGGAACTGGACAACTATCAGAATTTGATCTCTGCTTTTCTCGGTTTTTCTCTGTTGCCTTCATTTGTCTCTGCAAACAGCTCTGTCTCAGGTAAAGTGGTCAGCTTTTCAAGCACTACAACAAAATACCTGTGAGAAACTGATGTCATGAAGAGAAGAGGTTTATTTAGCTCACAGTGTAGGGAGTTCAAGTTGCCCCTGGTGTCTTAAGGATCTCCCATTGGGTTAAACTCTTAAACATTGTAATTGGATTTGAAAAGAATTGTCAGCTGTCCCAGGTGTCTCATTGTTCTTTGTGTACAAATCTTGTGGAAATATTTTTGTTCCGTATAAAACAATATAAAAAGTTATTTGTTTTAGTAATAGGCTGGAGGGATGAACACTATTACAAAGAGATGGCTAAGGGGATACTTCTGACCAACTTTTTATTGACTTAAATATTCTAGAATAAAAGGTACAGCATTAAATAGACAAAATCACAGACAAGATTATAATGAAAAGCTGAACATTTAAAAAAGTTTGGGTGAAAATAAAATTACTCAGATCTGGATGTTGAAGTTTGATAGACTTTTTTTTTTAAAGATTTATTTTTATTGGAAAGGTGGATATACAAAGGAGAGACAGAGAGGAAGATCTTCCGTCCGATGGTTTACTCCCCAGGCGGCCGCAATGGCTGGAGCTGAGCCATTCCGAAGCCATGGGCCGTCCTCGACTGCTTTCCCAGGGCACAGGCAGGGAGCTGGATGGGAATTGGGGCTGCCTGGATTAGAACTGGCGCCCATATGGGATCCCGGGTGTGCAAGGCGAGGACCTTAACCACTGTGCCATTGTGCCGGGCCCCTTGATAGACTTTTTAATGCTGGGTTGTGGCATAAGTTTAAGTTGATATTTTTTTTATTTTATAGTGCTCACAACCTGTGAAAGTGTTAAGTAATACTAATGCCTCATATGCTATAGCATTTATGTATTACTGATAAAAATAGACTTAAAGGAAAAGTAGAGTAGAAGAGAGTGAGGAGAAAGTAAAGTGTGGCTATTCTGAACGATGGAGAGAGATGATTAGGTACAGAGCATTCTAAGTATCCAGTAAGGTTCTAGTTGGAACTGGGGAGGATAGATGAAAATGGAAACAAATTCCTTGGTTGTGGGACCATTTGGAAATGAGATTTTTGCTTTTGAATCATGCTCGTAGCTCAGAATATTCTCAGAAGACTAGAGTAATAGTGAAATGAACTAGGAGTTTCAGTGGCAGGTGTGTGGTGGTCCACTAGATCTATGAGGACATATTATTTTCCTCTTATTGTTTGTGCTACTTTCTTTAAACTATGTTAAAGAAGATGAGCAGGGCCAATAATGCAGTGCAGTAGGTTAAGCCAGTGTCTCCGGCAGCTTATGAGCACTGAGTCCTAGCTGCTCTTCTGATTGAGCTTCCTGCAGATGTACAAGGAAAGCAGCAGCAGATGGCCCAAGTATTGTATCCCTGTGATTCAAGTGGGAGACCCCGATGAAGTTCCAGACCCCTGACTTTGACTGGTCCCATCCCTGGCTGCTGTGGCTATTTGGGAAGTGAACCAGCAGATGGAAGATCCGTCTCTTGTCTTTCCTTGTTCCTGTTACCCTGGCATTCAAATAAAATAGCAACACATGCAATTGATTTTTGAATTTATTTTTCTCTAGAAATCCTGTAGGTCGGACAGGACTGGTTGGCCGCGGGCTTTTGGGACGGTGGGGCCCAAATCATGCTGCAGATCCCATCATAACCAGGTAATGTATTTTTGCAGCAGAGTGGAGTGACTGGAAAAGCAGATTGCAGCTCTGTACTTGTGTTTATATGCTTATGTGTCTGTATTTACACATTTGTATGTATATTTATGTATATCTATAGAGATATACATACACATGTGTCCTTGGATGTATATATAGATATGTAATGTATATTTTGAAATTACTTTCTATAACATGATAATAATGTGTTGCTAGTGTAAAGCTATAGTTTTCTCTTATATGAATAGATTAAGCATGATCTAACCAATGTTCATTCACCAGATGTTTATTGGACCTGTATTGGTTAATATCAGCATTGAGTAGGCACTTTAGAGGCTATAAGTAAGTATAAGAATCCAAAGTTTTGGTTCCTTGTCCTTAAGAGCTGTGTTTTCATTTGCAAGATAAAGTATGTGAAACGTTGGAATAAGAAAATTTTTTTAGTATGATCAAGTAATAGGAGTGATGCAGAATACTAGATAAGGTTGGATGTGGGTCATAGTGATGGTGAACTGGAACATGCAAGGATGGTATTATGAAGGAGGTAGATTTGAAACCAACTTGTGTGGGTAGTGGGACTGGACGAGGCCTAAGAAAATGGCCTGTAGTATTGTCTGTCTGAATATTGAGAGGCAATGAAAGACTTCACAGCCTTGAACACACACTGCTGTAGGGAATAGGGAGTGATGATTGTGGGGAGGTTAAATGTCCAAGGAGTGGCATCCTCTTCCAGAGGCAGACCTATCTGACAATCCAGATCCCGCTCAGGAGATCTTTTGTTATGCATGAATCAGAATAAAAAAAGTACTGGAATCTAATGTTTAGATGTACCTAGGAATCTCCACAGGAATGATTTCTCCAGTGCAACTGGAGTCTTCTGTAGTATCTACTGTGCTTTTTCTTTTAATTTATTTGGAGTTAGGATTTTATCACTGACCAATTGCCTCCTTACATGAAATTGCTTTTTTGATTCTTAATTTCCATTATACAGTTTTGTAGGTGTAGGGTTTCCTCCATCCCCCCCTTTTCCTTCCTTTCCCCATTGTCTCCTGTAGTCTCAACCCCCATGTATTTGCTCTTTTTATGTATCATAATATTGTGGGTATAAGCAGTGGTAGAGAGCCTTGTATCTTGTTGTCAAGGTATATTAAGCAGTTTTATTGGAGGACTTGTTTTATTCAGGAGTATAGATGCATATTGCAGTTCTTTGTTTCTGGTACTCTAGTCTCCATTACACTGTTTGTTTATGAGATTATATAGGTGTTTACTTGTTTACTTACTTTTTTGTTGTTTTATACCTACAAGAAATTAACACTTTGTTTTCTAAATTATGCAATATCCTTCAATATTGTTATTTCTTCAGTTTTGATATTATGTAGGCCTTCCTTTCTTCAAGGAGATTTCCCCCCTTTCAGATCTGGGATATAACAAGGATTTTATACTTTAAGGCTAGGTAGAAAGCTGATTTTGTTACTTTTGAGTTTCTGGAAGAGGCACTAATACTTGTCTTTTTCTTTGAGACGTTCTCTCAGTTCCCATGTCAATAGGGATCTTTACTCCTTTACACATCCATCCTTCTCTCCTCCCTCCCTTCTTTCCTTCCTTTCTGCTTCCATCCATCCATTTACTTAACCTACCAATCTGCTTACTTAACTGCCTATCATTCTACCTATCTCTCCACCTGTAACTCCTTTTGAGCCTTTATGATTTAAATAAGATAGGAAGGATTATTTTGTGAAAGACCTTAATAAAAAAAAAAAACCTTGATAGACAGGAATGGATATTTCACCTAGTGGCTAAGGCACGTGTGTCCCACATCGTAGAGCTGGGTTTGATTCCCAGTTCAGGCTCCTGACTTCACCTTCATGCCAATACAGACCATGGGAGGCAGTGATGATGGCCCAGGTAATAGGGTTCTTGCCACTCACCCGTGATACCAGCTCTTGGCTTTGGTTTTGGTTCATTCCCTGCTCGGTTCTGGTTGTTGAGGGTGCTTGGGAGTGGATGAACAAGTGGAAACTCTATGTCTCTAACTCTGAAAGAAATACAAAAATTAAGGCAGTATCAATTTTTTCCAATTTTGGCGAGGTTGGCCAAAAATAAGGTGCTTTTAAAATTACATTTAATGGAAAAAATATGTCAGTTCAGAGGCAAGAAGCAGAAAAGGGAAGCCAGAGACTTGACATTTAGCTTATCCTTATCCATGGTGGACCAGGTAGTAGAAGGTGATGTAGAATGTATAGAAGGTGATATAGAATGTGTAGAGTTGTTTTGAAATGCTAGGTTTTGAGCCTGGCACGGTAGTTTAGTGGCTAAATCCTCGTCTTGTAAGTACTGGGATCCTATGTGGATGCTGGTTCATATTCTGGCTGCTCCACTTCCCTTCCAACTTTCTGCTTGTGGCCTAGGAAAGCAGTAAAGGATGGCCCAAAGCCTTGGGACCCTGCACCCACATGGGGGTACCTGGGTGAAGAAGCTCCAGGCTCCAGGCTTCTGATTAGTTTGGCTTCAGCTGTTGTGGCCATTTGGGGGAGTGAACCAGTGGACAAAAGTTCTTCCTCTGTGTCTCTCCTCTCTGTAAATCTGACTTTCCAGTAAATAAATAAATAAATAAATAAATAAACAAACAAATGCTAGGTTTTTTGAGTTTTGTCATACAGGTAAGAGAACTGAAGGCTTACAGAAGGTCCTAGTATATAAAAAAGCCCAGAGTGGCCTGGCTTTCAACGGTGATCTTAGGTTAGTTTTTGTTATTCGAATGATTCATATAGCAACCATGAATTCTTCTAAATAGATGATTGGCAGCAGAAATGGAGGAAAAGAATGGAAGATAAAGAAGGAAGAGTCAATAAAACTTAAAGGGACTTGTTATGGGTACTTCTGGAACTCCGCTAGGTGCTGTTAGTTTTCCTCTTGTTTTTCAAAATCAAAACAAAGCAAAAACCAAAAACCAAACCATTTCATTGTAGGAATTAATAGATCTTTTCTATAGATTTGAAAATGAAAACACACTGGGGTTAAATGACTTGGGGTTAAATCTTGTAGATCTGGAATTTGAATCATTAGTCTATCTAAATATATTTTCTTTTATGCCAATATTACATTGTTAAGCTGTTCTGAGAATCACCTTTACCCCTAAAGAGGTTCTCCTTAATTTCAAAATACTTCACGATTCAAAACAGCTTGCTTACTTTTGTTGGTAAAGTTCATTTTAACAGGTGATCAAGCCAGTCACATGTTGACCATATTCCGAGACAGAATGGGCAAGAAGGAAATGGTGGGAGTGAGATGTTTCTACTTTCACCATTTATCCACCAGAGAAGAAACAGCACCCCATTGCCTGGCTGCTTAGGAGTCAAAGGAGGGAGTGGTTACATGAAACCAGCCCAAGTTCCCAGTCAGGAGGAGTACATCCTGGGGAAGTGATCATTTGTTGACAGGTGGGCATGGGGCTGGGGTAACATGGATACCAATTTGTGAATCTAAGCTAGCTATCTGCCTGTCTCAATTTATTCCTCTCTCAGAGACTTATGACCATTATTAAGGTTTGCTGAAGGATGTGGAGTAATCTCATTTTTTAAAACATAATATTTATTATTTTCCATGATATGTTTTTGTCGGTATAAGGATTTCTCCTTTTCCCTTCCACCATTTCCTCCCCCCCCCTTTCCCTTCCACCATTTCCACCCCATATTATCATGGTAGTATAATCCTTTAGTAACAATTGCAAGTTTCACACTCTCCTACCCGTGTGCACTGTGGCATTGTAGGTGTAGACAGAGGCAAAAAATCTAACATTGTTAATGAGGCAAATTTACCTGTTTCACCGAGAGTCCTCCCTTTACTTGGGATGTGAAACGTATGCTGCAAGGTATCTGCATTTCCAGGTGTGCTAACCTCCATTACACAGATCATCTATGAATGTGTGCATGTATGTGTGTGTGTGTTCACTTGTTCACCCATATATCCATTTGTATTTTTCCTAAAGGTTACCTTATATTAGAGAGAACATGTGAATATTTGTCCTTTTGGGATTGGCGTATTTCACTGAGCCAATTTCACTGAGCTTATTTGACTAATGGTCTCTAGGTGGGACCATTTTGTTGGTAAATAGTAGAATTTCATTCTTTTTAATGGTTAGGTAATATTCCGTGGAGTAGATGTATCACAGTTTCATTATCTGTTCCTCTTTCAATGGTTATCTGGGATATTTCCATGTCTTCACTATTGTGGATTGTGCTGCTAAAAATATAGGGTTATAGGTCACTTTTTCATATGCAGGTTTAACTTCCTTTATGTTTATTCCTAGTAATGGAGATGACTCCATCATGCAGTGGATAAATTTTCACTTGTAGTGCTCTCCATATTGACTTCCATAGTTGCTGTACTAACCTACATTCCAGCAACAGTGGTATGGTTACCTTTTTTATCACATCCATGCCAACAGGTATTGTTAGTGGATTTCTGAATGTAGGCTAATCTCACTCAAGTTAGGTTGATTGTGGTTTTTATTTATATTTCCTTGATAGGTAGGAAGCCTGAACATTTTTCATGTTTATTCGCCACTTGAATCTGCTTTTTTGAAAAATGCTTGCTCATTTCCTTCACCCCTTCCTCAACAGGATTATTTTATTATTATTATTTTTTTAGCTGCTTTCTGCAGATTAGGGGCAAAAGTCATGAATGTCCCAAGTTTGGAAATCTATCCCTATCCTATCTAATGGATCCTTCTCACAAGCCAGAGAAATTCCAGCTAGTGCTAATGGTTGTGTGCCTTGCATTGCCACTGCCACTCTGAGAAGTCGTTGACCACTTTTTATCTTTTGGAGCAGCTGGTTCACAGGAACGGCCTGCCTCATCATTTGTGTGCAACTAGGCGTGCTCCTCTCCCCTGCACAAGAATCAGCCCAGGAGGCTCCACAGCCTGCTCTGTGTGCTCTGATGCCAGTGGGCACATCTCGGGGCCCTGGTCTACGACACCCGGGATCCTGTTGCATCTGAGACCAACTAGAGATGAAAGCCTGGCCTTCTTGGCATTGTCACAGGCCTTCAGTAGTCCTCACAGCTCCTCTCCCAGGACCTCAACCTCAGGCTCCTTGTCTAGCACAGTGGTGTACCACAGGTACAACTGCCTAGGGCCTGTCTGGGCCCAGGTCTGCTTCTCCCAGACCAGCCTGGTGACATATTATAGATGTGGCCTGCCTAGGACTTTGGCATCTGGCCCCAGGCCTGCTACGCCATGGCTGGTGTGGTGGTGTACCATGAATGTAATGTGCCTAGGACTCATGAGTTCCCTTACCTGCCAATGGCCTTCACTGAGACATCCCCTCAGGCCCCTGGCCAAACACTGTGGAGGCCACAGGAGCAGCCATCTAAGACCCTGGCATGGGACCCCAATCTGCTTGCTCCTAGCATAGCACTTTGCCAGGGGTGCACTGTGCCTCTGGGAGCTAGCTGACTTAGGACCGGAAGTCTGAATTTTTAAGTCTCTTCCTATAAAAGTCAGGCTCTTGCAGGTTTAATGCTAAAGAACAAGCAGCTATGCTGGCATACAGTATAGTTAACAGAGTTGGCATGAACCAGGCCCAGAATGCCAGCCAGCTATGAGCTGCTTTTCTCCCAGCAGTGTAACATTTGCATAGGTCCAAGACCATCTAGACACAGCTTATAGCCAGGGCAACACAGCTATCTGTAATGCAGCATTCCACAAAACTTTCTTATTCAATATCTCCAAGTTAAGTTTTCAGATCCTAAGACATTGCACATAGAGATTTTTTATATAGTTATCTGTTGTTCCTTTGGATGTTTTAAAGTCAAAATGACTTGAGGTGTGTTAGTATGCTATTAGGAATACGCTCAGATCAATAGATTATACTCAGAAGTGAGGAGGCAATGTAAACAGGACGTAGCAAAATCTTTGATATTCAGTAAATTTTAATGATGTTCATGAATTAAAAATGTTGCACTAGTGCTTAATAATGGGATTTTGAGTTGATAATAATGTGTTTAGCACTGTAATGAAGTTAGCAAGGATCTACTCTACTTATAAAATCTTAAATCCCTTCAGAATGAATCTAAGATTATAAACAGGGCATGCAAGCTGCTGCTCGTTTCTGGGCCTGCCTTCCTGCTCAAGCCCATCTCTGTATCTGTGTTGCTTCAGATCTTACTGCAGCCACACTTGCCTGCCTGTCCAATGAAGAGCTGAGGCTCTGTGGTAAAGCTCTGTTTACCCAGTGTCATGGGCATGAAATGCATCAGGTGCCAAGAAATGTCCATGAGTGGACAGAGTCAGTATTCACCTGCTTACCCTTTGTATTACCCCATGCGTGTAAACATTTTGTGGGTTTAAGTGGGCAGCGGTTAAAAATACAGATTTTGGGAAGTGGATCTCCTGGGTTCAGAATCTTGGTTCATATCCTTAGTATCAGCATTGCAGTCCTCGGCAGTTATCTAACTGCTCTACTTCACTTTCTATGTCTATAAAGATAATAATACAACCATGATAATAATTCCTTAGAATTTTGAGATGCTCCCTCAATCTGCCTTTCAGATAAATAAAAGTGAACATTAAGTGGATAAATGCATTAAAGAACTTAGAGCAGTGTCCAGTTGTGACAAGTGCCATATAAAGGGCTTTAACCAAAAGCTATCCCCTTTCTGTCTCACTGTCTCTGTTTTCGGTCCTCATCATCTTAGTGACAACCTTTCTGCTGATCTTGCTTTTTTATTTCTCTTTTTTCATGAAAACATCATCTGGTCTTACTATTTCTTTCTTTAATGTGTCTAGCTGCGGTGCTAGACTATGAGCTCTTTTAGCGAAGCATAATGGATTAGATAAGGTAGTCAGCTATGATGTGAAGCAGTGGGAGAGGGAGAGAGTGTGCTTTAATGGCCTTGGGATGGGGCGTCCCATGTCAGAGTGCTGCTTTGAGTCAAGGCTGCTTCCTGCTTCCAGTCCAGCTGCCTGCTGCTCTACCTGCCTGAGTGCCTGGGTCCCTGCCACCCAAGTGGAAAACCAGGAACCCAGGAGTTCCTGCCTTCTGCCTGCAGCCTGGTCTGGCCTGGACTGGTGTAGGATCAAAAGAAGGAGGACCTCTTCATCTCCTTTGTCTTTTTTTTTTTTTTTTAAGATTTATTTTATTGGAAAGGCAGATTTACAGAGAGAAGGAAAGGCAGATTACAGAGAGAGGGAAAGGCAGAAACACCTGTCTGCTGAGTCAGTCCCCAGGAGGCTACAATGGCTGGAGCTTAGCCCATACAAAGCTAGGAACCAGGGTCTGGGTCTCCCAAATGGGTGCAGGGTCCCAACATTTAGGCCATCCTTTACTACTTTCACAGGCCATAAGCGGGGAGCTGGGTGGGAAGTGGAACAACTGGGACATGAACTCGTGCTCATGTGGGATCCTGGTGCATGCAAAGGGAGGATTTTAGCCACTAGGCTACTGCACCAGGCCCATTGCAGACAGAGATTTAACTTGCTGTGCCATAACACCTGTCCCAGAAATAACATTCTGAAGTTAACAATGCCTTGTTGTTTTTTTTTTTTTTTTTACAAAAACATATGCAGCTGAAGGCAAAATATAAAATTAAGGTACAGAATGAGACTTTTTTTCCCCACTTGTTGGAAGAGAACATAAAAAGTGGGAAGCAGCAGAGATTTTGACATCAGAAACCGCCACATAATCTTTCTGATGAAAGCACAGTTACTTGCTAAAAGCAAATATCATCAGGTCTTCTTCACTTCTTTAATTAATACAATAAAACCCAAGTTAATTTACTTAATGAATAAACTACTGATAATTTTTAAAAAGGATCATTGGAACTTTCTCATTTTTAAAAACTTTTATAATATTTCCTTTAAATATTGTTCTATTTTCAAGTTTTTAATGTTATTTTAAGTAGCAAAAATTATTTTTGTTTGAATTTTCAATATGGAAAGTACAATATCCTTTATGCAAAATTAATGTTAGTCCTGATTTATAGAGTTGCTAAGTATAAGCTATTTTTGAGAAAAATCTATTTGTACTCTTACAAAGAAAAAATACATGGTGGTAACTGTCACAGGCTTGAAATAGGACCTTGGTATTTGTTCTAAATCAGTTATGATATTAATTTTACTGTTACAGGTGGAAAAAAGATAGCAGTGGAAATAAAATCACCCACCCTGTTTCTGGGAAACGCATCTTACAGTTTGTTGCAATAAAACGAAAAGACTGTGGAGAATGGGCAATCCCAGGGGTGAGCCTTCATCTTAACATTTTAAGTTCTTTTTAGTTGTGTTCTTTACTTTATTCTTGGTTACTGCACGTGGATGTTTTCTACTCCACTTACTCTCCTTTCTTTCCCACTCATGTTTCAATAATTCCTATTTAATTTATTAAATAAATGTCAGTTATAAATTGATAAATTATAATTAAGTAAATAAATTATAATTATAATAAATTCATAATTATATAAATTATATATTATATTATAATTATAATAAATGATAATTATAATTTATTAATTTATAGTAGTTGTTAACAACTATGTTATTTTAATAAGCATTAATACTTAATCATATGAATCATTTATTGTTCATTTAATAAATAAGATTTTTTCATTGCTACTAAGAAGTACCATGGTGAGCAAGTTTATACCATGGAAGGTGTTAGAATTTGAGTCTCATTTTAACATCTTCTGGAAAGACGATGGACATTGTCATTAGGCCAAGGCTTGTGTTCTTGATGTTCCACTTGGAGGTGCTTAATATTGTGTTCAGGCCATCTTTATTATAAGAAACGTTACATCTGTCTTATAGAGTTCTTAGAGATGGCATGTACGCACCTCACTTGTTTTAGGTCTCAGAATTCAGCCCTCAAAAAAACACACAAATAGAATTCAGGCCTCACTATAATGTTTTAAGCTTTTTAAAAATTGAATTTTAAAAGAATTTTATATTTTATTTTTAATATTGCTTACATGGTTGAGAGGGATATATAACCTGGATCTTGTGCTTGCCAGAGAGTACTGTGGTTCAGCCTAAAATGACTTGTATCCAGTTCCCGTACTTGCCAGTGGCTACTGAGGCCTACCCTGGCTAGCCTGCACCCATTCTGGCTCTTGTGCATGCCATCTGGTATAGCAGCATAGCTCAGCTCAGTCTGGCATGGCTTGCCCCCAGTATGGCATTCTCCAGCAGGTACTACAGCTAGGCTTAGCCCAGCCTGTCCCCAGAACAGTTCTTGCTGTCAGGTACAGCAGCCTAGCTCAGTCTGGCCCACCTGCACCTTGTCCTGGCTCTCACACGTCAGGGGGTGCTTCAGACTAGTAGGTGGTGCAACCTAACCCAGCCCAACCTGCTTCCATTCCCAGCTCTTGTGTGAATCTGTAGTGCAACCTAGTCTGTTGTAGCCTACACCCCTTCCTTGCTCTTATTTATGCCCGTGAGTGCTGCAGCCTGTTCCTGGCCTGGCTTGGCCTCACCCATCCTAGCTGTTGTGCTCCCCAGCAGGAACTACAGCTTATTAGGGGAATTCCCCAAGTTCCCCTGCTAGGCTTGCTCTCATCCCTGGATCTCTCAATTGCCAGTGGTTGCTGTGGCTCTGCTCTGAATGATCTGTCCTCAGCCCTAGCATTTATATGTGTCAGCGGGGCCTGCAGTCTGCCTCAGCTCATCCTCCTCCCAGCCTCAGCTCCTATGAGTATAGGGGAGTTTCCACGGTTCCTTCTGGCTCTACCTTCTTGGGGTGAATTCCTGCCAGCAGGCCCTGAGGCCATTGAGGAGGCAAACTGATAGGAGATATCTACCTATTGTGAAGAAATTACAAGCTTATAAAGACTAGGGAAAGGGAAGGCAGTAAGGTGTCCTGACAGTCCCCACCCAACAAAGACACTGTAATTGGCTAGAAGGCACATTTATTCCTCTGGACTTTCCAGTCATGTCACAGGTCATGTTCAAGATGCAGGGCTGGAAGCTATGCTTCAGGTCATGGGCAGGTAAGCTGTGAGCCACGCCCAGCAGGGAGCAGGTAGAGATCCTGGGGCTGGCGCTCTCCCACACTACCCTTTGCCACCCCTAGCCCTCCCACAAACTGTTAAATACTGCAGGCCCACAGGAGCAAGCCCATATATCCTCTGTAGAATCTTCCCCTAGATTGATTCTCACATTTCATGGTCTGGAGGGTACTTTGACCCAGTTCCATCTGTTGGTTGAGTCCCCGGTGTCTGCAGTAGCTGGGACTGGCCTGGGATCAGAGCCCGGGGCTGTGGATGCATTCTGGCTTTCACATATGGGCGGCAGGAGCCCAGCTGCTTGCGCCATCGTTGGTGTCTCCGAGTCTGCACTAGCAGAGCGTGGGTCAGGAGGTGGAGCCGAGTATTGAGCCAGGCACTTGGGTGTGGAGAATGAGCATCTAACCTATGTCTCAGCCACCAGTCGAAAATCCCAGAGCTTGAGGATTTTATATTTTATGTTTTTATTATCAAATAGAGATTGCTGTGAGGATGACTTGGTAAATACACTGCTGTCTGTAAGAATGCTTTTATTTTTTCCTGTGTAAGATGAAAAATGAAATTAGCTTAGGCTAACTATTATGTGCCAAGTTATCAGACTACACTTGTGCTTGATGCCATAATGAAATAATGATGTTTTATGGATTCGCATATTTTAGTTGTCCCTCTTAAGTTATTATAAATAAGAGAGCTGATCTCACTGGCATAATTTTTGGGAATCATTAATCTAGTCAACATATTTGGAGTATCTTTTTTGTCAGCTAATATGAGAGGTGCAGAGTGTGTAACAGCAGTGTAAGCAAAAAGCCTTATCTTTGGCTGTTCACATTCCAGTGAAATATGTTGTATATTTGAAAATACTGAGGAAGAAGTGTTTGAGAACTCATACTCTTTAGGTAGGATAATTAGGAGAAGGCTGGCCCGAGGAGGTGAGATTGAATATAAATCTGAAAGGAGATGAATGAACACACCATGTGGATAGCTTAGGAAAAGCGTCATTTACAGAAAGAGTAGCAGAGTTCCCCGTGTAGGAGTCGGCGTGTCTTGGGAGCATTGAAAATGTCAGTGTGGACGGAATAAAATTAACAATGCAAGAATTGGTTTACTTTATTCTTTTATTTTTTTCCCAAGATTTTAAATTTTTATTGGAAAGCTGGATATACAGGGAGGAGAAACAGAGAGGAAGACCTTCTGTCTGTTGATTTACTCCCCAGCAGCTGCAATAGCCGGAACTGTGCTGATCTGAAATCAGGAGCCCAGGGCTGCTTCTGGGTCTCCCATGTGGGTGCAGAATCTCAAGGCTTTGGGCTGTCTTTGACTGCTTTCCCAGGCCACAGGAAGGGAGCTGGATAGGAAGTGGGGTCATCAGGATCAGAACTGGTGCTCATATGGGATCCTGGCACGTGCAAAGCGAGGACTTCAGCCTCTAGGCTTTCACACTGGGCCCTACTTTATTCTTTTTTACCTCCAGGTTTGCGCACGCTCCCTCTCTCTCTCTCTCACTCTGTCTCTTTCTCTCTCTTTTAATTGAAAAGACATATTTACAGAGAAAAGGAAATACAGAGACAGATCTTCTAAAGTGGTTCACTCCCAGAGTATCCTCAATGGTTGGAGCTGAGCTGATCCAAAGTTAGGAGCCAGGAGCTTCTTCTGGGTCTCCCATGTGAGTGTAGAGTGCTAAGGTTTTGGGTCATCCTCTGTTGCTTTCCTTGGCCACATTCAGGGAGCTGGATAGGAAGAGAAGCCAGGACACAAACTGACACCCACATCTGATCCTGCTATTTAAAAGGCGAAGATTTAACCACTGAGTCATCACACCGGGCCCAGGCTCTCTCTCTCTTTTATTTTTTTTATCTTTTTTTAAACTTTATTTTTGGTGATGTTTACATAGTTGAGAAGGATGCATCCCCATGCAGACTACTGATTAGGGTGGAAAGGGTTGAGAAGTAGGGCAAAGTGGATGAGACAATTTGTTTCCAATTTTCTTTTTCTTCTTCTTGGGGGAAGGAGTGCATGGATGAGGCTACACCCAGAATCGTAACCATAAAAGTACCCAGGGATGGGGGATGGCCACCCATTGTCATTTCAGGGTCCCCGATGTGGAGCATTCTCTGAGGGTAGTAAGTTGTTTTGATAGCTCTGGAATTCTGTTGATTTCGTTGCTGCAAGGATGACGAAATTCTTCCAAGGTGCACTAGCTGACATAGTCCATCTTGGAGTCTTCATTCATACAGATATTTGCTGTCAATGCTCGGCCAGGATTGTTGTCCAATTTGTTCTGCACTCCTTGGTACTAGATGTCTTCTGCAGGCCTTAATGAACTGGTTGTGGCATGCTGTCCACTGCAATCTTCAGCAACTGAGGAGAGCTCCATACTGACACATGCATCCCATGGTCAGACTGCAGATCCTGCAATTTTTCCTGTGGTTGGAGTTCTGAGTCCAGTGGGTCAGTTGGGAAGTTCCCCAAGGAAACCTCATCTGACATGACTGTGTGTCCAGTCAGTGTGGGGTCTGGCTCAGTCTGTTAACCACATCAACTTACACACACAATGGTGGTTGCAGTTGTTGGGATAGTTCTGTCTCTAGCGCCATCTATCATGCACACCAATGGATGCTGTGCTCAAGCCTATCTCTGCCCACCATACACTTGGCCCTCAGGTATACCAGCTGGAACTACAGCCAAGTCAGAGTGACCCACAATAAACACCACCAGGCCCACTTTCAGCCCTTGTTCCTGAATATGATGTTGTGTGCAGCAATCTGGTCTGGTTCATTCCACATCCCATTCAGCTTTTATACAATTCCAATAGGTGCTGCAGCCTAGATCAGCTCAGCTGATGCCACTTTTCAGCTCACACTTATGCCAGCAGATGCCACTGCCTGTCCAGCCAGGTCCATCCCCAGCCTTGGTTCTCATGCTCACTGGTGGGAGCTGCAGCCCATCAGAGGGGTGGCCACAGTTTCCACAATAGGTCCACTCCCATTCCCAGATCTTGCACTCTCCGGGTGATTCTGAGGTCTAGTCTGACAGGACTTGCTCCCATTCCCAGCACTTGCCAGCTGATGATGCAGAGAACCCAGACAAGTCTATACGCACTCTGGCTCATGCATGCAACAGTGGATATAGTCACTTAGCCCAGTCTGGTTTTCCCTCGACCTATCTCACATGCAGGCTAGTGCGTGTTGTAGCCCTGTCCAGCCTGGTCTGCCCTGGTCCTAGATCTCACACTCACCAGCAGGAGCAGCGAGCCCAGCAGGGGGCTCCACCCCAGGCCTTACATGTGCTAGGTGTGCTATATCCCAGACGGGTATGGCCTACCTCAACTCAGCATATGCCAGTAGATGCTGCATCCTGGCTCAGCCTGGTCTGCCTCAGTCCTAGCTCATGTTTGTGGTACTGCAGCCTATCCCAGCCTGGACTGCTCCCAGTTCTATCCTGATTGTGAACAGGTTGGTATTGTGGCCTAACCCTGGCCATCTGGCACTCTGTCCTGGTTCTCACATCTGCCAGTGGGTGCTATGAACTGGCCCAGCCTGGCCCGTCCTCAGACCTGACTCACATGTGTGCTGGTAGATGCTGTAACCTCACCTGCAGAGACTGTGTCTTGACAGTTCCCTAAGCTCCTCTATCAGGACACCTCCTGTGGCAGATCATGCGTACACCAATGGGTTCTTGCCTAGCCTGTCTTGGCCTACCCCTTGTCCTGGCAGGTACAGTGGCCTTGCCTGAATGACCTACACACATTCTGACTCTTTCTATCGGGTGCTACAGCCATGCCAGGTTCTCTTTCTTAAGATTGAATTTGGAAAGTAACTGGGAAAAATGAGTTTGACTAGTTCACTTTTGTGCCTTGAACCAATCATTGTATTCAGATATATGATACATTGTTATTTGCTGCTTCTACTAGAAAAAGTGGCTTAGAGATGAACCTACCACATAGAAATAAGGATAATTATTATGGGCAGATTGAATAGCAAATGTATGCTGAAGCACTCAATAAGTATTGGCTGAACAAATGACTAAATGGATTAAAGGTTTTGACTTTTTGAAAAATCTGACTCGTAGGGCATGGTGGACCCAGGAGAGAAGATTAGTGCCGCACTGAAAAGAGAATTTGGTGAGGAAGCTCTCAACTCCTTACAGAAATCCAGTGCTGAAAAGAAAAAAATAGAGGAACAATTGCACCGACTCTTCAGCCAAGACCATCTAGTGGTAAGAAATTGTGGTTCATGGAAGGAATTGAGTCCTGTGGACAAGGAAAAGTGACTTCCCGGTTCACCAATAAGTCTGAAGCATCCTTCCCTAAATAAGGTGGAATTCTTGTATATTTGAAATTCACATTCACAAAAACAACTTCAAGTGTAGATCTCTATGTAAATAGACTTTAACGTTTCATAGTCTAACTTGAGTTCAACTTATCATTTACTTTTCTTTTAGTTCTTCTGTAGACTAGATATGAGCAAATATGACTAATTAAGATATTTCCTTATGCATGGAGTATTAGCCAACGTAAAACCATTTATGGCAGGTGGATGAGTTCAGCTCTTCATAAATAAATACTCATGTTTTAAATTATGTAATACAGAATTTCTCTGGTTGATAACCATTTAATTACAACTCTTTTTAATCTGTTTTTACCAATAGATATATAAGGGATATGTTGATGACCCTCGAAACACTGATAATGCCTGGATGGAGACGGAAGCTGTGAACTACCATGATGAAACAGGTCATTCTGTGCTTATCGTTACGGAAGTGACTGTGATTGACATTAGGGCAGGATCGCATCTGTACACTTTTAGCTTCTTAGGCCAATTAACTATTGATTGTAGGATTTTATTATGTAAATTATTGGTTGTAACAATTTACAGAGAAAAACCTCACAGATATTATCACCAGTAACTAAATTTCTTTAATTAGTTGGTAGCATCTGAATTTAAGGTTGTGTTTATAGGATAAAATTGTGTTTTAAAGTTATTTGATTAGTTTACTTTTTTTCCCAAAAAGATTGATTTATTTAATGGAAAGCTTCAAAGAGAGAGAGAGAGAGAGAGAGGCGCGCTTCCATATGCTGGTTCATTGCCCAGTAGCTGTTATGGCCAGGGCTGGAGCAGGTCAACGCCAGGCGCTTCATATGGGCCTTTCCTGTGGGTGTTAGGAACCCAAACACTTTGGCTCTCCTCTGCTGTTTTACCCAGGCCGCTCCCAGGGAGCTGACTCGGGGGCGGAGTGGTTGGGACATGACCTGGGATCCACATGGGATGTTAGTATTGCATAACTGACCCCTAAAGTTTACTTTTTACTTCTGTTTCTCCTTTGATTTTTGAATAGTTATAATGAGAATACACAAAGAGTTACCATTTTAATAGTGGCATTTAGAAACTTGTGTACTAAGATATTGGCTCTTCAAAACAATACCTTTATTATTTTATTATATAATCATAAAAGTAAAGGTAGTAGATTCTATTAGTGGTTATTCAGGAAATAGATGATATAGAGGGAGAAAATATTAAAGATATTAGTTCTATAAATACTGAAAGATAATTACTGTTAATATGTTGGTATGTTTCCTTCCAGACTTAGTATAGCTCTTTTTTTATATTTTGTTTTATTTTGGTCTGATTTAATAATAGGAGCTTAAACTGTACATTCCGCTTGGTAGCTGTTTTTACTTAGTAAACCTTGGCAGGAAGTTAAGATACCTACACCTCATGTCAGGTTATGTGGATTCAGTGCCTGCATCAGGCTTCTAGCTCTTGATTCCTGCTAATGCTTATCCTGAGAGGCAGCAGTAGTGGCTCAAGTGATTGGACTCTCCGCTCTCTCAGCCTCGACCCAGTCTGGTTGAAGGCACTGGGAGTGAGCCAGTCAATGGGCTCTCTCTCTCTGTGTCTGAGGGAAGTTGATCCATATGTACTGGCTTGGAATGATGTCTGTATATTTACATATGTATATTTGATGTATATGAATACAATCTTTATATATCTATATATGTGATTTTTTTCTTTCTGGGAGGTGGAGACAGAGTGTCCATCAAAGAGTATGTCCCTTTTTTCTTTTTATTTGTTTGAGAGTCAGAGAAAGTGAACTCTGATGTGTCGGTTCACTCTTGAAGTGTCCAGCCGTGAGGTTTAAGGTGGGGATTGGGAACTCAGGTGGCAGGGCCTGCAGCGGGAGCTGAACACCCACCGGAAGCTGTGCTATGGGCTACAGGTGTCTCCCGCCAGGTCAGACATGCCTGTCTGAAAGCACTTGATAAACATTGACAAATTGTCATATAGAAATATACACATCTTCAGTTCAATTTTATAACTAGAACTAGTTTAATACAAATATTTACATATAAATATTTTGATTTCTAAATTGAGAAGAAGAGTTCATTTACTTTTCTTTTTAAGACTTATTTATTTATTGGAAAGTCAGATATACAGAGGAGGAGAGACAGAGAGGAAGATCTTCCATCCTTTTGATTCACTCCCCAATTGAGCACAACGGCTGATGCTATGCCGATCTGAAGCCAGGTTCCAGGAACTTCTTCTGGGTATCCCCCATGGGTGCAGGGTCCCAAAGCCTTGGGCCGTCCTCGACTGCTTTCCCAGGCCACAAGCAGGGAGTTGGATGGGAAGTAGAGCAGCCGGGACTAGAACCGGCGCCCATATGGGATCCCGGCGCGTTCAAAGTGAGGACTCTAGCCGCTAGGCCATGCCGCTGTGCCCGAGTTCATTTACTTTTAAGTCTATAAGATGAGTCACCAATTATTCCTTTTTATATTTAAGTCTAATCCTTCTGGAATTTATTTTGATATAAAATTTTATATATATTCTTGTTTTAGAGGATGATAGTCTTTTTTTAAAAAGAAACTCTTATTGGTACATCTACCTAAAATTTAGGAACTTGTTAGGAATATTTTAGTTTGTGATTCACATTGTTGCTCGATACAGTGGTGATTTAAGAATTAGTAAAAATAGTTGAAGATAGAGTTATGCTGAGGAAAAGTTGAATAAAGAATTGCTTTCTCTTAGTGATGGATGTTTTCTTTGGTGATTAGGTGAGGTCATGGATAATCTCACCCTAGAAGCTGGAGATGATGCTGGCAAGGTGAAATGGGTGGACATCAGTGATCAACTTGAGCTGTATGCCAGTCACTCTCAGTTCATCAAGCTCGTGGCTGAGAAACGGAACGCGCACTGGAATGCGGAGTCGGAAGCTGACTGCCAGGGCTTGTAGCTGGTGGCCCCTCGGGAGCCAGAGGCCAGCCAGGGAGCATGTGCAAGAAACGGCCCGGTACAGCACTCAGACCGCGGAAGTGGACAAGGTAGCTGCTTGGCCTGTGCACTTTCAAAGCTTCCCAGTTAGAAGGTCTTGTATGAACTTGAAATGAATAAATACGAAACAAAACACGGAATTTTCAGCTTTCTGGTCAAAAGATACAAAAAGAATCATTCTAAAAATAGAATGGCCTGCTTTAAACTACAATTAAGTCATTTCCTTCCTTTGAAGAATGCTGGTTAGAATAAGTTCCTGATCGGCCCTGACTGCTACTTTTGTTTTCTCTCTGGGTCTCAACCACCTGCTCCTCTGAGATCTCAGAGTCCCAGCACCTCAGGCCTCTCCTGGAGCAGCATCCCTGACTGTGCTTGCTCAGCCTGGCTGTCCTTTAAGTTATTTGCTTCACATTTTGCTTTGTATGATTTTATACTCAAGTTCATTTCGAAAGCAGAAACTGATGTGTGCTTGACTATAGTCGTCCATTTTATGATCATTTCAGTTATCCTTTAGTCAGTAAAAATTAAAAATAAATAAGCATTTATACCCTCCTTTCCAGCCAATCTGAATTTTAAAAGTATGTCCAAGGAATTAGCAATATAAATATTTTTTATTTCATTCTGTTCTTAGCTGCTGTATAAGCCAATTTAAAAATAAATATTCTTAAAGGAATTAAAATCAGGGAGAGATGGAGGTCTTTGTGTGTTAAAAGTGTTTTTGTTAGGAAGAGAATGGTAAGGATGAAAATCGGCTTTTGGGACACATGTAGTCATCATAAGTTCCAGAGAAAAGAAAAGGAATCTCTTGGGAGGCAGAAAAGGAAAGCTAACCCTTCTCGTTGGACGCATGTTCTTTTGAGGGTATTCATTAGGCAGTTCTGTACACTAACTCCTTCCACCTGCAACAGGGGCCATGCAGCATCATCATTATTCCAGCTGAGTTACAGGTGGAACATCGGAAGAGTGGTAGGGAACAGATGGTGGTTCTCTTCTCATGGTTGAAGCTACGAGCTACTCTGCAGCTTAAGAACAGAAGTTGGGATAAAATAAAGTAGGATTATTTATTTTTAAATCTGACATCAAAACTTGGTGGGTGGTAAGCCTAAGCTGGACTAAAGGGGGCCTCTTCTGTCCGCAGTGTGAAGGTGAGGCTTGTGAGGGACACTGGGGTGTTTGATTCAGGGTGCTTTGAACCACTCTGGTGAGTTAGTGAGGCTTATGCACAGTTTTAATTTTTTTTTAAAGGTTTAAAATATTGAATTCTAGAGCATATAATAAGGGACTTACTTGACAGATGTCACCTGCCCAGTGGTGAGGGGCTGGATGGACTTCGCCCAGTTTGAAGGAGTCAGTTCCTGTTAACTGGCAAGAAGAACGTGCTTTTTCCTGACATTGAGTAAATTTCTCCATACTTGAATCTACTTAGAGAAGTTCTTAAAAAAAGTTCAGCAGTTCTCCAAAAAGCTGTTAAAACTATGACACGATCCCCATATAAATTGTCTTAAATTTTATTAGTTTAAAAAGCAGTGTGACAGGGAGGCAGGGAAGGAGAAGGTGAGAGAGGTTTTCCATCCACTGGTTCACTCCTCAAAAGCCACGAGAACTGTGTAAGGTCAGACTCCAGCCGGAAGCCTGGAACTCCATCTTGGTCTCCCCCAGTGGTAACTGGGATCCAGGTACTTGGGTCATTGTATGCTACCTTTGCAGGTGATGTTGCACATGGTGTCACAACACCAGCCCCTCTGAATAAATTCTTTGCTCCATTTTTGAGTTTCCATTGGAACATTTAGAAGGTATGAAAAATGATAAAACCAGTATCAACTATAAATTACACAGGGGCAGATAATCTGATAACTGAATATTCTAACAGAGAAAAAACAGATTAAAATGGTAAAAGCATTCCAAAAGGCATATCTGTTTGAATATTAGGTAATATTCTCTTCATATTTGCTTTATATTTCCAATATAAGGATATACTTTTTTAGATACATTTGGTAATATATAAAGCAATAGAAAGTTTACTGAATGATTGTTATGTAATTTAATCCTCATGACAATCCTGGGAAATTATGTGATGTTATTTTCATTTTATAAATGAAGGAATTTATAGGTTATCCAAAATTTCATTCAGTAAAATAGAGCTAAGCTTTGCCTAACGCCACATCTATTCCCAGTCTATTGCATCCCTTGCTAAGGTCATCAATCTGTGATTCATTACTGTTAAGTATGCAACTTGGAAGGCTGTGCTACATAGGAATGAAGTGGTTGTATTATCCATCCTAATGCAGTCATACTTAATGATGGGAAATTTAAGGGCCACACTGATTTGGCTAGTATTTTGAAACTGTTTACATAATTTTGGCCAAAGTTTTAATAATATCTTAACCTAAGAATAAATGGCTAAAATCAGTGTTTGTTTTGCCAGCTTAGATTCTTGAGCTTTTGGAATCATTTCAGACTCAAAAGCTTTTTGCTGTGTTTACACAAGATCATGGTTATCTAAAAAAGCTAGATATTTGTTAAAGCAGCGACGTGAACATGCTAGCAACTCTGAGAGACTACTCCCATTTACCAGGGCATGTCTCCTTATGCTTGGCACTGCTGGGGCTTGGTGTTTATAACGAATTTGAAAAGACAGCACTTGAAGAAAGCATTTCTAATTACTCTGATTGTTTACACTTTCTTTCATAATGTTACAAATTTACTGATGTTGACACAGTCTGAGATGGTAAAACTCTTGTGATACTTACAATATGTAATAATGTTTCAATGAGATTTGGAGATCTTGCTAACTATGTAACTTCCGGCATAGTAGAGTGAGAATTATTTCTGTTGAAATAGACAATGCAGGCTACAATTATTATGTAAAGATATTTTTATCAACAAAACCTTCCTCCCAGTTCCTATTTTATGATATTTCATTGCCAATTCATTCATGTTGGGTTAATTGTCAGTGTTGGGAATGGTAATTAATATGTCTGGTTGTGCGATAAACAGAATCCTCAACTGTCCTGTTAACAATGGGGAGGTTAATTTCTGTTACTCAGCCTCTGAGATGGCCTGATGTAAATATTGAAAAAGGACTAAATACTTACATCAATGAAGTAAAACTTTTTAGAAGGCAAACTTCTGGGTGAAAATCCCAATTTTCTGAATTTGGATTGAAAACATTTAATAATGCTGTATATAATTCTAATTATGTTGGTTCAGTTATTTTAAAATGGAAATACTTTTTAGTGTCTACATTTTAGTGGGGAGGAAGGACCTGCATTTTCAATTAAGAGCAAGCTCGGATGATAACCAAGGTAGAAATCTCAATGTGTTTGACATCCTGCCCATCACATTGCTGCTTTTCTGTTGAGGGGAGTACTGCCTTGAGATCAGGCAAGATCCGGTTTGCTAGTTTCACAGTAGGCTTTCCTTTTGGTTTACTTTAAATTGTCCGTAAGACCAAAAAAAAAAAAAAATGAAGATAAATTTTACTGTTTAAAAGTGCATGCAGTTCTGTCAACTTATGTTTTTTGAAATATGGGCATTTTCAAAAGAATGATATTTTAGATCTTGAGGAATGAAGATCATGGAGGGAATTAAGTTTATGACTCATGTGTTCTAATTTGGATAGATCAGTTGGCTTGATGTTTTTATAGTCCAGAAACTTTAGTCAACTTTAGTCTTACCTTTTCTGGTATTGAATATCACTTATTTTTATCAATATAATTATAAAAAGTAAGTTGTACCCCCAAATGGCTCTGAAAATAAAAAATAAAATATAATGTCAGCCCATTAAAAATTCATTGTTCATTACCACATACTAATAGATACTTACCCCAAGTTGGTTTAAAATAAAAGGGTTAACTGTAAAAGAAATCAATGATTAGAACTTGCATTTGGTTTATTTTAAAATTGAGCATAGTACAATGTAAGTTAAAACATGTTATATATGACAGTATTTGTTTTTTTTTCTTTTTTCTTTTTTTTGTTTTTTTTACTTGAGAGCCAATGATTTATAGATCATTGCCTCTAACACTTTGGAATTTAACCCTGATCTTTTTTTTTCCACTTTTTTTTATTGCTATCATTTTATGATACAGTTCCATATTCCCTTATTCCCTCCCCAGTTCCCTCTCCCCCCCAGTTCCTTTATATCATTAACATATAGTCATTCATACTCAATTATATGTCTGTCATTGTGGGCATGGACAATGGCAGAGAGTCCAGAATCCTATTGTCAAGATATAATATAAATAGTTTCACTGTAAGTCCATCTGTCTGGAAACAGAAATGCATACCACACTACATCCTCACATCTGGTTGTTAGTCTCCATTACATAACTACTGTAGTATTTGTTTTCATGTAAAAACCTCATTTTGCTGTTTATCGTTTACATAGGATTTTGAAATGAAAATGCAGTCTTGATTAAACTTCACAAAATATTTAAATATTTTTTCCCCTATAACTGTGTTCACTATATTTGAAAGGTACATTTAGTTGAGTGGTTAAGAAATCTACTGGGATCTGGTATTGTGGCATAGCAGGTAAAGCCAGTGCCTGCAGTAACAGTCCTGTGTCACAGCTGCTCAGCTCATGATGGCTCAGCCAGCTAATCCTACCCTTTCAAATGCCAGGATCCTATATGGCACTAGTTTGTGTCCCAGATGCTCTGCTTCTCATCCAGCTCCCTGCCTGTGGCCTGGGAAAGCAGTGGAGGATGACCCAAAGCCTTGGGACCCTGCACTCATGTGGGAGACCCAGAAGATCCAGGCTCCTGGTTTCGGATTAGCTCTGCTAAGGCTGTCGTGGCCACCTGAGGAGTGAACCGGCAGATAGAAGATCTTACTTTCTCTCGTCTCTGTAAATTTGCCTTTCCAATAAAAATAAATAAATCTTTTTTAAAAAATTACTTTGTTGTTTCGTAGTTTGTATGAATTCAGTGAGTGATGCAGAACTCCTATGCGTTCAGATGTTCGGCTTCTAATTTAATGGCCGTGCTTTGCTTTGTGTCCAAATGAAATGGACCAATAAAGGCAGCAGCTTTTAAAATATAGTATAGTAAATGTAATATTTTTAAAAACTTTTTAAGTTAATAGGACAGAATATATTTACTGCCATGAAGTCATTTGGTGTCAGGATCTGGAAAAAAGGAAGCAGAGATAAGGAGTTGGAATTTAGGGTTTTCTCTCTCCTGATGAAAACAGACTTTCTATGGTTTCTGGCATTTAAGAAATTGTATCAAGATTTATAGTCATGAATACTTAAAGTACCTCCTCTTCTCCCACCAGCCTGTCTCTGAAAACGTAATCTGTTTTCTTTTGTGGATTCCAGACAAGGCAAGGACCTTATGAAAATTAAATGCATGTCTGCTGGGTTGGGAAAAATACTATGTTTTGGGATCACTTTATGAAAAGAAACTTTAATAATGTTATTTCCTGTAATTGTAACAGAAGCGCCATGTAAACATTTGGAATTAACATACGCTTCACTCCCTTTCTTATGGTTTATGACCAAAACGAATCTCTTATATGTAATTATCACTAATTTGGTAAAATCTGGTTGAAAGTAAAATACTTCTTATGCCGTAACTAACCTTAAATCTAGTTCAAAGGCATGTAGAACAGATTACATTTTAATTAAAACGTATTTCTCCCCAGTTAATGGCAACTGTAAACATAAGAGAAATGAGATGGAATTTTCATCTCTTTTTCACTATCCAGTTTTCTAGAAGGGAAGGCTTAAAAAGAGTCTGAGATTACTCCAAAATGATACTAAGCAGCTCGTCTGGAACTTGCCTTTCAAATTAGCTGACTTCAGATTAGATGATTTTTCTGCTTCTCCCCAGAGTTTGCTTACATGTTCATGGGGAGCTCAGATCTTACATTGTTCTGTTTTCAACTTCTAAGTTAATCAAAGTACTTACAATAAATTTTCCTCCAAAGAAATTGTTAATCAATAATTCTTGTTTACCATTGTTAATCATTAATGGTTGGCTATCAAATTTCTCTCCAAACAAAAATATAAAGAAGTTTACGGTTTTTAGCTTATATTAATAAAAATACTTTCTTAAAGGAATTTTTAAGCATGATTACCTGATTTGGAGCATATGGAAAGGGTAGGGGAATTGGAATCTGTAAGAAGGCAGGGGAAAGTGAATTATGAGCAGAACAATCTATGAACATTTTCTTTTGTCTTTTTTTTTTTTTTTTTTACAATTTGTTCATTTATTTATCCTTTCCCTTACCCATGCACCTGTCCAACCGTTTGTCCCTCCATCCTTGCATTATATGTTGTGCAGTTCTGTTTGTTACTAGGGACGGGTAAAGATGACCCTTCTGATGGCGCTTACTTAGTTGGTGGAGACTGGAGTCAAGTGAGTTCTGTATAAATGTTTGTCTTTCAAGAAGTATGATTATTTCCTTAATCAAACCCTCAGCCTGGGAACCTGTCTTAGCTATCACTACTTGAAATTCAAGTTTCTCCATTATAAAGTTCATCCTTTGTCTGTTTTAAATACTATCCTGCCACCTGGTGGTCAAAAGCGTTTCCACTTTAAATACTAGGACCTTTTTATTTCCAGATAGATTTTACATAATTTTAGATAGAAGGTACTAAGGACGATTCCTTAATTCTAACCATGAATCAAGACTTTAGGATTTTTGCCCGAGTTTAAAATAAATTGATTTAATCGTAGCCAAGAAGTAGGAAAACTACATCTAAACATAATCAGAAGCCAAAGATGAACCATTTACTATAAATGCAAGTACTTAAGTCATGTGAAAACATTCCATCAAGGACTCTAACTAGTGGGAAATCGTCATGAGCAGTTGTAGCGATGGAGGGAATGGGACCTGAGGGAAGAACGGTGATCCTTGTGGCAAACACAAGTTAATTCTCTGTGGCGAGAGACATGATGTCAGTCATTTCACAAGGCTGCAAACTCAACAATGACAAATGCATCCTTTGAAGATCCAAGAGGCTTACAGGTTCACTGGAACCTTCTCCGGATTGTTGAAGCTTGTAAAACAATAACAGCAACAAGGTAAAACAGCCTATGACAATCTATTACACATTATAGGAAGTTTTATTCTAAGTGAGAATAGATAGTGAGGCACCATTGAGTATTATACCCCATTGGTAATGGAGTTTCACCACTGAAATAAACGCAGGTAAATATACACCACGGCAAAGCTGAATTAGCCCAGTGATTTAAAACACTGCGCTCTTCATTTTAAACTCACATTCAAAGAATATTTTCAGTTACACTTCTTAAGATTAATTATGTGTTGCATGCTTTAAGAGGTCTTTGAAATCAACATATGTTCAAGAGTGATTTTTCAGCACGTGTATGTTAAAATGAAGGACATTTGAAAGTGTCCTTTTTATTATTATTATTCCCAAAAACACATCTTGAAAGCTTCTTCACTCCTTTAGAAGATACTTTGTTAAAAATATGCAGAGGGAGGTTGGTTGCCGAGGAGTTATCCAACATTTTCAGACTATAACAAACACAGATGACACTCATGGATATTAGTATATGGAGAATTTCTGGCTGTAGTTAATTAGTGGCAGAGGTCCACAGGATGAAAAATTGGTGTTTGGGGGATTGCTGTATTCCATGTGTGCTAAGATGCCATCATTGTAAAACTATTATTTCATTTATTACCAAAAAAAAGTGATCACAGCAGAGATACTAAAATATAAAGAAGCATC